TTGTCTTTTAAAAAAATATTTCCCTAGCTGTCACAGCACAATTCTAATATCATGCTAGGTTGATGTACTGATCTTTCAATATGCCACTTTATTTAACAAACAACAAAGAAGGAAAGCTATTATGGTCATCTGGCTGAGAGCTATGACAAAGGCAGGGAAGGATGCTATCTCAACTCCATGGGCTCTTCCTCACAAAGCAGCATGGCCCCAGCAGAGTCCCGGCTGAGAAGAAAGGCAGGAAAAAAGGGGAGCTCACCTCCTTTCAATTTCCCCAGCCTTCACACCTACAATTTCCCCTCCAGCCATTACCACCAGCACAAGCTTGCCCCATCGCTGCTGCCTCCTTACTCACAAGTAAACTGAGCAAACTTACTCATGATTACACCGGGTAAACCTTACTCATGATTAAACCAATTAAACCTTGCTAATGAGTAAACCAGAGATCCAAAGACCTGTGTGGACCCTTCTCACAGAAGAACAAACATCTTCCGTATGAACAGGAGAGAGAGAGAGAGAGAGAGAGAGACTACAGATTGCACTGAAGATAAGAACTTTTAAAGTGTGAACAAGACCACTCCAAATTCCCCTGTCTGGGCAGGCCCTGAATGAAGCTGAAAGTATTGACTGTAGGTTTTTAAGAGCAAGTTAACCTGTTTTCCTGTTGCAGACTTTAAAAGTGACATTATCAGAGCAGTCAAGATTGAATTTGTGTTAACAAGATTTAACGAATATTCACATTTTGACCAGTTTTCTGAAAAATGACCTATTATGTTATAGCAGTCTATAACTAACCTATAGTAGTATACCATCAGGAAAAGTTGAATGTATTAGGAGCAATGTAAGATTCTCACAGTTTTACCTTTACACACAGCTGAGTATCATCCAGGTTCACATGAAAGTCACTACAATGCAATTAATGCTTCTTCAAATGTAGTGGTGTTATATGAAAAATATCTTGATACAGAATATTTATGTATCTAGAGCTTTATGTTAGGTTTCTAAAATTAATTTTTTTTATTGCTGCTATGCATTTAATTATATTTGAGTGATGATCACTTTTTAATTTTATGGGGCAATTATACTGTAAATAATAATTGTAGCATAATCAGCAGTCAACAACCAGATATGCTAGCAGGTGCATTAGAAAGAATAAGCCTATTTCTTAATGGAATAGTAGCAAAGGGGAAATATGGAAATCATGAATCACACAAACAGATCAAAAAGGTGTGAAAAAAGAAAAAAGGAACAAAACTTTTCACATGCACAAGTGTACAGTTATGTGTGAAGTTTTCTATTTTTAGTAAAATAAACAGTTGTCAATCATCCTGTATGTTCAGAGGTGCTTTTGCCCCAGTGCATATTTTGAACCATGGAAGAGACAGGGTCTTCATCAGCCACAGAACATCTTTTAAGGAGTCAAGAACAATAAACTGGCTAACTGAATCATTGCTCCATTGTATGACTAAACTTCAGTGTTATCAATGAGTCATACTTAGAATTGTCCAGACTTTGTTCTTAAGTGAATGTTATTCAGTTGCTTTTAAACTTCATTTTTTAAAATCTTAATGTATGTTTAATGTTTTAATGTTATATTTATATAGTATTTTTAAATTTCTTATTTTAACCATTGTGAGCCACTCTGGGTTCCCTATGTGGAGAAAGGTGACATATAAGTAAGTAAGTAAGTAAGTAAGTAAGTAAGTAAGTAAGTAAGTAAGTAAGTAAACTAACTAACTAACTAACTAACTAACTAACTAACTAACTAACTAACTAACTAACTCGGTGCAAAGAAGATTCAGTTCTGTGACCAGTATAAATGCTGGAACTGAAGCATACATTTGCTCATTTCATACATATCTTGGAAATAAAAGAAATAAGATAGATCAGCCATGAAAGCTAATATCAGCACGAACACTTGTCCCTATCTCCACCTTATAATACTTCCCTAAACACTGTCCTTGCTAACAATTACATATAGAAGGCTATCTAGTCAAGAAGAACAGGAGAGAAAGGTCTAACATTCCCAAAAGGCATAATTTTGTATAAAATAGTAAACCACTGATCCTGCATGTATTCACTCTCACCTTCTCCCAGAAAAGGTCCTGTATCTTGTAATCCTTCTAAACTGCTTGTAACAAAATGATATCAACATGGAGCAACAAATTCCCGATGCTTTAAAACCAATCACTGGCCCTGTCCACACTGCCATATAGATAATGGTACAGTATATGGACTGCTGATGGCAGTTTGGATTGGAAAAAAGATCTTGTCTGCAAGTGTTTCTATTTAGAATGATACATCCTTCCCCTTTAAGAGTTGCTGTGCATCTTTCTGGTCCAGGAGTAGGGCATGATTTATTTTGGCATGCTCATTGTTTAGCCTATTTAACTGGGAGATAGCAGCCTCTAGCAATCTCAACTTCCAACTGCCATTATGAGAGAGAAAGTGTGAGGAAAATGAAAGAAGGGAAGCAGGGAGTGGAGAAGGGAGAAAACAGAACAGTACTGACAGAGGGAGAGATGAGCAATGCAAAAAAAAAAAATCTCCTGACCCTCTGCAGATGATCAGGGCAAGCACTTAATTGTCAGCTGGTTGGTGTCCAAGGAATTGTTTGCTGTTTGGATGAGAGCAGCATGTCAAATGGCACATTGCTCCTCTCCCTGCAACCTCAATGGATTCTGTGTAACCCACACCCAAAGAATTTCTTTCTAGAAACTATGATCTGATCAGTGGCCAAAGAAGGAAATATCCATGTCTTTTTGTCTCAGTTCACTCACAACAACTATATCCCAGTATAAAACATAACCATCCATTTTACTTGTTTTCCTCTCCTATGGGGAAAGAAAGGGCCATGGCTAAGCTTCCCATCATTTTCCTACATACTATTAATGCTCAGCTATTACACACACATTTTTATCCATGGCTCTACTGTGAATTAGATTGAACAGATAAAGAATGAGTTTGATCAGCTAGGTATAAACTGAGCCTAAATCACCTCAGGCAGATTCAGCAGCCCTTACAGTACATATCCAAAATGTTTCAAAACAGCTCTATGTAAGGAAAGCACTGTGGCGATCTACCCTTTGTTGCCCCTAATTATTTGGCCCTCACAAAGGAACACGCCCTTTCACGCTGCCACCAGGTATTCTCCTAATACCAATTTATGTCATACACATGTGCTGCCAACACTAAGGGTTATAGAACTTAAGACTCAGAGGTTTAATTAAGTGTTCTTTTATTGTCAAACAAATCATAAAGGTAAATCACATATGAACTGTTTCAGGTGTTAATACGTATTGGATTATGTAGGCAATCACTTTTATTCAAAACTGCTGTATGCTTTCAATCAGTATCTCTCTTGTAGTGCTTATACTTTCATTCCTGCTTGTTCAATATTGTTTAAACTTCTCAATTTCCTCTCCTAACACTCTCAGCTCAATTCACTAACCCTCTCCTTCGTTCTCCTAAACCCTGACTCTAACTGCCACTCCACATCTCCCACTGTCTCTCTCTGTCTTTCTAACTCCGCCCCTCCTGCCCTATCCTTGGCTCCTCCCTCTTGAGCTTCTGTGATGGACAGGCAGGAATGATGTCACCTTTTGACATTTCGCTACAAGCACTAAAGCACTTTTCCTAACTCTCTTTTTGAGCAGGAGGAAAGCTTTTGAAAGAGGCTTGTTGGAATGTGCTGGTGGTTTTGTATTCATTTTAGCTATATTTTCCACCTTCATCCTATCAGCACCAAACATCCCCTTCCTAATCCTTCTCCAATCCAGCCTCAGCCTTCTTTACTCTTTATATTCCATCCTCCTTTGGGTTGCTACACCAAGGGAGGCTAGTAAGACATTCATCATAAATTGAATCTTTTCACCAGCCCTTTGGAATGGGCACCTGATGGAGTTGCTTCTGGCCCTTCCCTTTCAACTTTTAAGAGTCTTTAAAATGATGCTTTTTAAAGAGTCTTTTAATGGCATCCTCTAATGCAGTGGTCCCCAACCTTTTCTGAACCATGGACCGGTTGGGGGTGGAGTCCATATGCTGGGGGGTGGGGCACCCCCCACTTGTGGGGGGGTCAGGTGCACTCATGTGCATGCACACATGGGTGGGGCACACTTGCGGGTGGGCAGGGGACACATGCATGCAGGTGGTGGGCCATGCGAGTGGGTGGGGTACATGGGGGAGTGCATGAGGGGGCAGGAGTGCGAGATCTGTCTGTGCACCCTGTTCCTGCCAAGGCCATAGACCGTCACTGGGCCGTGGATCACGGCTGGGGACCCCTGCTCTAATGAATCTGCCAAATCTGTGCTGGCCATTTGACTATTGCTTGACACTCTTAGTGTGTTTGTTTCATGTTATTTATTGATTTGTTCTATTTTTATAATTTTATTTCTTATTGTTATAATTTGTTTTTGCCTTATTTGTTTGTTTGTTGTTGTTGTTTAGTCATTAAGTCATGTCTGACTCTTCGTGACCCCATGGACTAGAGGACGCCAGGCCCTCCTGTCTTCCACTGCTTCCCTGAGTTTGGTCAAATTCATGCTGGTAGCTTCAATGACACTATCCAACCATCTCATCCTCGGTCGTCCCCTTCTCCTCTTGCCTTCACACTTTCCCAACATCAGGGGCTTTTCCAGGGAGTCTTCTCTTCTCATCAGATGGCCAAAGTATTGGAGCATCAGCTTCAGGATCTGTCCTTCCAGTGAGCACTCAGGGTTGATTTCCTTCAAAATGGATAGGTTTGTTCTCTTTGCAGTCCAGGGGACTCTCAAGAGTCTCCTCCAGCACCACAATTCAAAAGCATCAATTCTTCGGTGGTCAGCCTTCTTTATGGTCCAGCTCTCACTTCCATACATCGCTACTGGAAAAACCATAGCTTTGACGATGCGCACCTTTTTCGGCAAGGTGATGTCTCTGCTTTTTAAGATGCTGTCTAGGTTTGTCATCACTTTCCTCCCAAGCAGCAGGTCAAATTTTAATTTTAATTTTATGGCTGCTGTCACCATCTGCAGGATCATTGTGATGAGGTTCACTTCCTCCCTCCGGCGGCCCCTCATTCTCGGCGGGAAATAATAAAGGCGTAGTCTTGTCTTTATAACTTTTAAACTGTCAACTTTATTCTCTCCAACATCCACCAGCACTTCACTTGAAGGTAGTAATGGTTCCAACTCGGGCAACAGGCCACTAGTCTCAGCAACAAAACTTTTATCATAATCCCATGGACTCAACGGGGTTGCCCCCCATGCCATTCCTTGTCCTCCGGTCACGGGGGTGGGGCACTCCTGATTGCACAAATAGTCCCACAGCATGAGTGCCTTACCCACCCTTGTTCATCAGGACCTTCGGGAAATGGACAGTATTCCCCCACTCATGCTGCAGCTCAGCTTCTCTAGGCGCCACTATTACAGTCCACTTATGGGTCACCACTCTTTTAGGTTTCTCTGCCTCTTGTTCCGGGGTAGGTAGTTCTCCCACCTTCAGGTGAGGAAAGTCTTTTATGAGACCTTGAGTGCGTACCCTCTCAAATGCCTTTTTCCTCTCCTTGCGTTTCTTTCGCTCGTATTCCTCCACCACTGTACTAAACCACACCACCTCTTCCCTGCTTTTATCCTCTTCCCACACTGACACCTCCTGCTCCGCCCACTCTCCCTTTACCAAACAAACTTCTGTTTTTCCCGCCTTCTCCTCAGCCTTCAAACCACCCGCCTTTTCCTCAACCAACCCTGCCATCATGAGTTGTTCCTTTTTTAATCTGTTCCTTGGGTTTGACAGTTAAGGACTGCACACTTTTCGCCTCCGCTCCTTCACAATCATGGAGCCCAAGAAAGTAAATCTTTTACTGCCTCCGTATCTTCCCCTTCAGTTTGCCAGGAGGTGATGGGACCAGTGGCCATGATCTTAGTTGAGCTTCAGACCATTTTTGTGCACTTCTCTTTCCCCCTCATTAAGAGAATTTTAATTCCTCCTCTCTTTCTACCATCAGAATGGTATAATCTGCATATCTGAAATAATTGTTGATATTTCTTCCGGCAATCTTAATTCCGACTTGAGATTCATCCAGTCCTGCCTTCCGCATGATGTATTCTGCATATAAGTTAAATAAGCTAGGGGACAATATACAGCCTTGTTGTACTCCTTTCCCAATTTTGAGCCAATCAGTTGTTCCATATCCAGTTCTAACTGTTGCTTCCTGTCCCACATATAGGTTTCTCAGGAGAGAAATCAATATGTGGGAGATTTCTCATTTCTTTAAGAATTTGTCATTGTTTGCTGTGGTCCACACAGTCAAAGGCTTTTTTGCATAGTCAATGAAGCAGAAGTAGATGTTTTTCTGGAACTCTCTGGCTTTCTCCATAATCCAGCGCAAGTTAGCAATTTGGTCTCGAGTTCCTCTGCCTCTTCGGAATCCAGCTTGTACTTCTGGGAGTTCTCGGTCCACATACTGCTGAAGCCTACCTTGTAGGATAACCTTTCTAGCGTGTGAAATGAGTGCAATTGTACCGTAGTTGGATCATTCTTTGGCACTGCCCTTTGTCTGTTAACCAGCCACAATACAGTAGTACCTTGCACTAATCAGACAGTATAAAAGTTGAATGAATGAATGAATGAATGAATGAATGAATGAATGAATGAATGAATGAATGAATGAATGAATATTAGAGTGAGTGTGTTTGTCTCTGTATTCTTTTAGTAGTAATTTTATTTAGCAGTGACGCTTCCCTTAAACCCTCCCTCTAACCTTTTTTAAAAGTTATATTTAATTTTGATTTCAATCTGCAGGAATCATTCAATATAAAAATATATTATGACATTTTATATTAAAGCTAGATTCATAGAAGTATAGTATTAAAATGATACTCAGTGTAGTTAATAGATAGAGTAACAGATTAGGATTCACAAGGCCTGGGTTCAGATCCCTGATCAGTCATGAAAAATCAGTGGAGGCAGGGAACTGGTAAATCTACTACATAAAGATTTTTCTTACCTTGAAAGCCTTGTTTGGGTCACTCTAAGTTGGTTCCAACATGCTGTACTGTTGCAACAAGAACCATACAAAAATACTGAATCTACCTGATTCAGATCAGCAGTATCAGGAACAGCTATCATATCCCCCCAGTTCAAGCATGACTATCAAAAAACAAAAAAGGTTATGTCCCCACCAACACCACAAGACAATCTCTAAAGGCAGCTGACACAGCCACAGACAGATGTATCTGTCTGAAATTTGGTAGGGGTAAGCAAAAGCAAAAGCAAAGCATGCTGCTTATATACCGCCCCATAGTACTTCAAGCAAGGGACGTGGTGGCGCTGTGGGCTAAACCGCAGAAGCCTGTGCTGCAGGGTCAGAAGATCCGGCAGTCGTAAGATCGAATCCACGCAACGGAATGAGCACCCGTCGCTTGTCCCAGCTCCCGCCAGCCTAGTGGTTCGAAAGCATGCAAATGCGAGTAGATAAATAGGGACCACCTTGGTGGGAAGGTAAACAGCGTTCCGTGTCTAAATCACACTGGCCATGTGACCACAGAAAGATTGTCTTCGGACAAAACGCTGGCTCTATGGCTTGAAGAGCGGGATGAGCGCCGCCCCCTAGAGTCGGACACGACTGGACAAAAAATTGTCAAGGGGAACCTTTACCTTTACTAGTGCTTCAAGCATTCGCTGGGCAGTTTACAAGTTAATTATGCAGGCTACACATTGCCCCCTCCCCAGCAAGCTGGGTACTCATTTTACCGACCTCGAAAGGATAGAAGGCTGAATCAACCTTGAGCCGGCTACCTGGGATTGAACCCCAGGTCATGAGCACAGTTTTGGCTGCAGTACAGCGGTTTGGCCAATGCGCCATGAGGCTCACTGAGCCATAAAATTTCATATTGAAATGTACAAAATAACAGAAGTGTCATGGCCATTTTTCTTTTATGTAAGTTAATGAGGGAATATAAAGATTAAAATGTCTGAATCTTAATACGCATCCAGACCTGAATCAGGCCAGGTTTTGTTGAATCTGCTGGAACAGAATCTGGGCCAATCCAAATCTGGCTCCAGATTGGATTAAGGTCCTTTGCACGGCCTTTTTTTTTCATGTTATAATTAAAACTATGATGACAAACCATGTTAATGCATAAAAATGAGACTAGGTTATTTTAACATCTTCCACAGGGACTCCTAAGGATTAGCCAAGTATGCGATAGATATGGTAGCATTTGATAGCAATAACATTTGCACAGACACTGCAACCAGTGCCGTAGGCTAGAATGATATGGCTGAGAAGCCAGATGGGCAGAGGCCAAGACGCTACAAGATTCTACTATTAGAGAATAAGGTTGTTGCAGAAGACATAGGGCAAAGAAAAGCCACATATTTTACATACCCCTTTAAGAAAAAAATGATAAGCATCCAGTAAGTAAACAGCTGTCAACAAGAGCGACCTAGAAAATGAAAAAACATTACACCTGTATGGTAACAGGTACCCTAATAAACCACTTTGTTAATGTTATTGATTCTTTTTTCATATTTAAATAATTTACTGTTTTTAGCTTTTGATGTTTTTTAAATGATATAATCCACCTTGGGTCCTTTTTTAGGAGAAAGGTGGGGTAAAAATATTTTAAATAAATATAATTAATTAAGGAGTTAAATGCTTGTGCATATAGCCTACAGACTCCCACTTTTCTCCTCCCAGATAAACAAACCAGAGAGGAGATCACTTTGCAGGGCAGAAACAGACATTACAGATAGCGCATAATTAAAACAGGAAAATTCGTAAGGCCAGATTATATGTGACTGACACACCAGAAGCTTCTTTCACCTCCTGGAGCTCATTAATTAGTTTGATTTGTTTGGGGACTGTACTTCTTTGATTTTTCATACATTAAATTCTGCCTGAATTTTCTCTTTCCAAGCCTAACATGCTTTCCTCTTTAATGTTTGTATCTGCCCTGTTAGGCTTCAATGAGACCAACAAGACACCATGATTGTAAGCCACTTTGAAATAAGGCTTAGTTCTTGGTCTATGTAGCCTGGTTTCTTCAGACACACTTCAAACATTACACAAAATTATACCTTTCCATGTTAGTTGACTCACTCATGAGAAAACAGAAGCAAAGTGGGAGTGGAAGCCTTTGCATGCTCTAGCAAGCAGATGATTCACATCCTGGTTTATTATGCCATCATTTTTGTCATATCTTCATATGTATATATATCTAATTAATTTTAAGGTTGAATAAGCAGTACATTTTCTTTATCAACTTTTCACTTTGCATGCCCAAATTTGCAGTGTTCGGGACAATATTTTAGTAGTGAGAAATGGGAATTTCAAGAACACAGAACCAACTTGCATTGCGTTGATATATGCTCCAAGGAATGATGATACCCAAAACCTGGAAAACTTACTTTTTAGGCTATAATTCACATACTAGCTGAGGGATTCATGGAGTTGAAGGCTTAAAAGTAACTTTCCCAAGCTCTTGTATCACAAATGGCTGATATTCAGAGCTCTTCAATGCTGGAGGGACGTGGTGGCGCTGTGGGCTAAACCGCAGAAGCCTGTGCGGCAAGGTCAGAAGACTAAGCAGTCGTAAGATCGAATCCACGCGACGGAGTGAGCTCCCGTCACTTTGTCCCAGCTCCCGCCAACCTAGCGGTTCGAAAGCATGCAAATGCAAGTAGATAAATAGGGACCACCTCGGTGGGAAGGTAACAGCGTTCTGTGTCTAAGTCGCACTGGCCATGTGACCACGGAAAGATTGTCTTTGGACAAAACGCTGGCTCTGTGGCTTGGAAACGGGGATGAGCACCGCCCCCTAGAGTCGAACACGACTGGACAAAAATTGTCAAGGGGAACCTTTACCTTTACCTTTATCAATGCTGGAAGTGTACTGCTGCAAGTACCTGCTAGATTTTAGAAGTGGAAACAGTGTCTCAAGGTAAGCAGGGAAGAAAGATCTGCACTGATTCAGTCTGAGAAGAGGCTGCCACATTTCTATCTCCAGCCTTTGGAGTGTTTTTAACACCCACCACCTTTGTATGCAAGCACCACACAGTTACATAAGACACAGAGCAACGTGTCCTCCCATTCATTCCCTGCTTTCTTTATTTGAGATTGGCTTCTTTCCTATTTCTTCTTTTCAATGTTTAGAAGAGGAGGAATAACCACCAAATTAAAAAGAAAGCCACTTGTTTTCCAGTTTCATGGAGGGGACGTAGTGAGACTGTAAGTAATAAAAAAAATACAGAAAGTAATACCATTAAG